GGAGTGGCTGTGTGCTGGCTTCCCACGATCAATGCAGGCCGCAGGCCGGAAGAAACTCTGTTAGGGGGTGGAAGAGGAAAGCCTGTGTCCATCTGGAATGTGGCCCAGGTTATCATCCGGGACCTCTTCCTTCCACTTCCTGCCTGGCAGGCCTGAAGCCAAAGTAAGGAAGCAAGCAGTTCTCAGACCTTCCTGCTTTCTGTGTACCTTCAGGGGAGGGTAGAAGGGATCTGACCAGGGTTGCAACCCCTTGTCTGACCTGCCTGTGGCCTGCCATCAGCAGCTGTGAGGGCCAGAGGAGCTTTGGGTCAGCTGGCTTAGGAACTTACGTGCCTGTAGATGTCTTCATGGGCTCTTTGCCTGCACAGTTTGCACCAAAGGGAAAAAAAATCAAACTCACTGCCATCGAGTCGATTCGACTCATAGCAACCCCTCCTGGGGTTTCCGAGGCGGTATGACTATGGAAGTAGATTGCCCCATCTTCCTTCCGAGGCGTGGCTGGTGGGTTTGAACTGCCAGCCTTCTGGTTAGCAGTCAAATGCCTTAGGCACTGTGCCACCAAAGCAGGGGCCAGAAATTTCTCCTCAGTTCCTGCTCTAAACTTCCTATGCCTCGTGCTGTTAGCTCCACTTCGATTTTTATGATTTGTTTTTGTCGTTGTGGAGAATGCGCACGGCAGAACGTACACCGTTGGTCAGTTCCCACCGACGATTCGGGACACCAGGTACGTTCTTTGCGTCGTGCAGCCATTCCCACACTCCTTTTCTGGGTCGTTCCTCCTCCATTCCCATCAGCTCACTGCCCCCTAAGTTTCCTGTCTAATGTTTCAAGTTGCTGTTGTCACTTTAACCCCATGAAAGGGCACAATTCTCAGGGCAGACACTCTTTACTAGTGAAGCTAAACTGCCGTTTGGCGAGGCTTGTGAGTGAGAATGTGCGGGACTGGGCAGTTTCCTTCCGTTGTGCGTGGGGTCACTGTGGGTCAGAGCCGACTCGACAGCATCTAGCAACAAAAATGTTATTT